TTGCATATGAATATAGAAACCCCATAAACTCAACGTTTAATGCTCATGTAATTGATGATGATGAGCACCTTACAAATGCGGATTGGGTTAATGTTAAAATGTTTGTAGATTTTTTAGAAAAATTTCATATTGCTACAAATGAATTTTTTGGGCAATATTATCCTGCTATTTCTAACTGTTTAGTTTATATTGCAGAACTTGCAAATTTATTTGATCATTTTTCAGAGGGTGGGAAAATTTATCAACTTGCTATTGATTCTATGAGAAAAAAATTTAAAAAATATTTCTTTCTTATTCCCCTATTTACGGTGTTGCTGCATTGTTAAATCCTACTATGAAATTAGGAGGTCCTCAATTTTGGTATGAAACTGTTTATAATGGTTTAGCACTTGAAGATGAGGAGTTGTCTAAACTTCCGGACGCAATAATCTCAATTAAAATAAATGTTCAAATAATTTATAATGCTTATCAAGTTGCATTAGATCATGCTAGATCAAATGTTCCAACTCCTTCTTCTTCTAGTTCTCAATCGTCTAAAAGAATTGCGGGAGTAAGAGCACTTAGTACTTGGTCAGGGTTCAGGGGTTCTCAAGGTTCTAATACTAGTGATTTTTCACAACTAAATGAGCTTGAAGTTTATTTGTCACAGGGAATTGAGGAAGTGAATCTCGACGGCTCCTTTAATATTTTGGAATGGTGGAAAGATAAAGAAAAATACTTTCCGATTCTTTCAAGGATGGCCCAAGACATTTTAACTATTCAAGCTTCAACAATGGCATCAGAGAGCGCTTTCAGTCAAGCAAGACTTCAACTTGGTGATTATAGAGCGTATATGAGGGAGAGCTTGGAAAAATCAGTACTTTTCAGAGATTAGATCCATTCGGAAAAAAGAATTTTTGGACTTGCTGAATCACAACCAGAGGTAGACGAAGCTTACGAAGAAATGCTAGCTGAACTTACGGAGGATGATGCTTCACCTGGAAGCGGTGATGACCAAGCTTCTTTTCTGTCACCACCAACGGAAATTCCTCCGGAACTTGAAGAATTTATGAAATTTGTAAGAGATACCATGTAAATTAATATGTAACTTGTATTTTGGCACATCTTGATTAGTTTTTTTTCTTCTCAATGGTGGTATTAGCACCTTGTTGTGCTCATTCCATAGGGGGGGAGGAAGACTAAGAAAGATATTGCCATGATTTTATAATGCTATAATAAAATTATAACGCATTGCTTTGAATATCTCTTTAAAATATTTTTTTCTTTTTATATATCTTAAGCTGTATATATAGTATAATATAGTATATACTATACTATACTATATTNTTTTTTTCTCTAACTTGTTTAAAAAAAAATTAAAAATAGAAGTATTTGTTGGGCCCACTTAGGCCCGCTTGGGCCCGGAACTGGCCCACTTAACCCGGGACCGTTAGTTCGTGGTCCCGGTCCCGAGCCGATTCCAACAAGAAGCCCGCGAAGCCCGGGATCGCTTAGGACCGGCCCACTTAGGACAGGGCCCGCGAAGCCCACTTAGGACCGGACCCGGCCCACATGCCACCCCTAGCTGAGGTGGACGCCACGTGGCATGCCATCTCACCGTTCCAACTCTATTTTACCCCTCCCTCCACGTTCTCTTCTTCCACCACTATCTCCCCCTTCACCCAAACGTCAGCCAAAAATAAATATTTAAATAAAAAGTAAGATTTATTGATTACTAATTTCTGCTGATTTTTAGAGTCATTTGATTTTTCATGTCAACTTATACTAATTTGTGCCAGAAATTCTTCTTATTTTCTAGGACGAATTTAATTTTTCAATATGCATGCGATTCATAATTTTTCAGTATGCCAAAGTCGTGGGTACACTGGTACTATGATTTTACTTTTTATCCATGGTTTGGTTGTGACTAAAGTCAGATATGAAAGGTTTTAGTTTTTTACTATTAAGGATTTGAATTCAATTATTATATGTTAGTATATGGAACTTTTTGTAATAGTCGGATCTTATTCTAGTTTAATGGTTCTTAATGTGGTATTCCAATGGATAATTTGCTAATAGCTGATAGATTTCGCCTAATAGAGTAAGAGAACGGTGGCTGGCATTTGTTTTGTTTTTCTTCAATATAATAGACGCCAAAAGTTCAAAATTAATGTGAGATGCGGCAATTTAGAAAGGAGATGTGGCAGCAGTAATGGAACTATGGAAATAAGGTAGTGGTCTTTGTGATTTCTTTTTGAATTCAAAAAGAGGAAAAGAAAAATGTGGCAGTGGTGGTTGGGTGAGGGAGGAGATGGTGGTGGAAGAAGGAGAAGTAGGGGGAGAGGGTAAAATGGGGTTGGTATGGTGATGTGGCATGCCACGTGGCATCCACCTTAGCGAAATATCAGTCCGCGTGGAATGATTGTGGCCATGGTGGAGGGCATTAACACATAAGGGGTATTTTTGCATCACTTTTGTAACGTCGGGGGTAAGGGTGGACCAAAAGTATAACGGAGGTTACAAATGAACCTTTTCTCATAGTAGAAGGTTATTTTTGACCCTTTTACCGCTAAAAAATCCAGTGATGTGTTGCTTTTAACGGATCGTTGGTGAGTTTTTAGTCAAAATTATACCCATCTTTGGATAAGTCTAACTTTGTACTGTTAGCCTTATATATTTTTTTACCGGTTAATCGGACTGGTCAAATTCGGTCAATGAAAATTACTGTTGAACCGGTTAACCGGCCTGGTCCAGTTGAGAAAAATAGTGACCGACCAGTCACCAATTCTGGTCGGTTACCGAGTTTTTAAAATCGGGCTTAACGGGTCCGGGCTAATCCATTTGTCACCTTTAAGATTGTAGAAACAAGTATGATAATTTTAATTTTTTTTATTTAAAAATAGTCGCTGAACCGGGCTGGGCCGATCCAGTTTACTACCGGTCTAGGCCGGTCCGGAACCGGGTCAACCCTGCCCGTTAAATATTTTTAGTTTCACTACATCGATTCTGCAAAATTTGAGTACTCAAATCTTTACCCAGTTGACTCAGTGATTTCACTGTTAGTTTTTAGGTCTCCCTTTGGATCTTTTGTTAAATGGACTAAACCTGCTCAAGTTTAGCAAACTTAAAGGACAATAAGTGCTCAGGGCAATAGATAAAGGACAAAGTTAGACTTAACCCCAAAGATAAGGGACAATTTTGGCTAAAAACTATGGTACATGCAATTTGTGTGAGTCGCATTCAGTTAAGATATGTAGGTCGCTGCTTTAAATGCGACTTAGGATTTAACCAAATTATGGGCCTAGCAAAGAGCTATTTAAGTTTAGATAAAGCCCAATTAAGTACTTGACCCTCAACAATGCAACGGATCTAACAAGTGAAAACTATGGGGATCTTAACACAAATAGCCGGCTAGATTCACTGTTTACTTTTTTCTATCCGATATACATAGATTATATACTGATTATATATAATTATTTACTTTTTCTAGCCAATATATATAATACTGATTATATACAGTTATAATCATATAATACATGAATTATACATCCGTCAGTTATTTTTAGTTTAAGCATTAGATGGTGGCTATTTGGGTTAATTCTTCAAAACTATAATTGTACATAATACCTAATGTAATCCGACAATTGGGGTTTAGGGAGGATAGTGAATATGCAATCTTACATCTGTAGAGCTTGTTATTGATAAAATCTTCGGTTAACCACAACAATATATAGAGAGAAATAAAATAGTGAAAAAGTCAAAGATGCAATACCACCATTGAGATATTAAAAACAAAAGCAATATCGACGGTGATAAGAATCTAGGAATAAGAAAATATAAAAAAAAAAAGAAAAAAAAGCTTGACTGCGTATTAACTTTCTTCCCTAATTGTTTATCGACTGATCAAATATATTAAAAGCCCATCCAACAATATGGAGGTCCGAAGCCCCTTCGGATCCTTTCAACTCCTCATTGCTCTCTCTCTTCCATAAATATCTACTCCAATTCCATTCGCGGTAAATATCAAAATAAAGAAGAAGAAAATAAGTAAAAAAGGAAATGGACGTCGGTGGCGGGAAAGTCGCCGGCGACGGTGTTTCCTCCGCCGTATCACAATGGACCTTAACCCTATCACAGCGGTATCAACACCTGCTGGATAAATCAACACCTCAAGTCCTGCATCGGTGGATCTTCTTCGCAGTGATCGCTTTGATCTACGTAATACGCGTGTTCATGGTTCAAGGCTTCTACATTATTACGTATGCCTTAGGAATCTACATAATCCAGCTCCTTATTGCTTTCCTTTCACCTCAAGTCGATCCGGAAGTTGAGGGCGGTCCCACACTTCCCACTCGCGGTTCCGATGAGTTTCGTCCTTTCGTTCGTCGCCTTCCTGAGTTTAAATTCTGGTGATATGACGCCATCATCTTTACTCCTTTATGAATATTCTCAGATTTGATGTGGATATCTATTGCGATCTCATTTTGTAGTGTGATTGTTATCTAGTTTCTGAATTTATACTTTGCATGAATTGAAACTAAATCTGATGTTAATTTTTTGATAAGCAATTGTATCTGATTGTTCATATCGCCTATAGATGAAAAACAAGTCAGATTTATATTTTTAGGATTTCTGGATACTTTTTCTTAAAGGAAGAATTTTGCAATCTATGATTATGTTAGTTGATGCTCAGCTGAAGAAATGATCTGCTGATCTGTTTGTTACCTGTTCAGGCCTTTATGTGATGATTTAGGATCTGATAAAAAATAGCAGAATAGGAGTGGAAAGAAGGAAAGATACTTTTCTCAAACTATTTTGTAATAGGACCTTAGCCAAGCTTAAAACTCCGTGTTTGGAGGAATTAGTTTTTTGAGACCAAACACTACAAAAAGGGGTATCAAGTTAGCATCTTTTTACATGTTTTGCCGTCGGATTTTTGTATTTAAGTGGTCAGCTTCTCATTGGTGCCTTTGAACTTCTCATTTCTGCTCTACCTACACGGATTAAGTAACGTGCAGAGTCTAAGATAGATAACCTGGTAGTTATTTCTTAAATTCTTATTGGAACAAGTTGCTGGAAGAGTTTTTCAAGTTCAAAAGTATGAAAATTTGATGCTTCCTTACTGCCCCCCAGAACGCTTTGCTTAGCCCCATTTTTGGATCTGATATTCATATAGGTGGCAGGATAATAGTATCACAATTATCGATTTTGTACTGCCTAAATAACTTTGATAGATAGAAACACTATGTACTGGTTGCACAAAGCTTGAAGCTTAAGTAATATACACAGGATTTCGTTTAAGTCTGTTTATTGAATTTGTTATAAAAAAATGTCACGTTGGTTTTAACTTATACTAAATGTATAGTAAATTTCCACTGGGCTCACTCTTACAATTTGGTTAGATGCAAACAATTGTCCTTGACCACATGGAGTACATTTGTTTTCATTTTCATCTGTAGTACTCGTTGCCCAACATAATAGTTAAAAAAAAAGAACGTGTATTGCCTACAATGTCTTTATTTTCAGGATGTTATTTCTCACTTATCTCAAACAAAAAATGAAGCTATTTTCTCAATTTGAATAGCTAGAATGAGCTTTCTTTGCGTGCAATGTGCCTCTCTACTGCAGTTGAATTTAAGTCCTATCGCTTGGATTAATGCTTATTAGCATGAGGTGATTTAATTGGATTGTTCTTTGGTTATATGTGATAGCTTGGGTGGTTTTATTTGGAGCTCTTTGGTTAGTGAGACAAGATATCTTAATCTGTTAAGAATTAGATATTCAAGAAGTATGTCCTGATCTTGAATTATATTGGTTATAAGCAAGAAATTTTATCCTGACCATCCGTTACTTCTATTAGGTTTTCTAGGTATTTTAGATGTTTATGGTACCATCTCGATGATATTTTTCGGTGAAATGCAGGAATCATGATCCTTGACCTTTATTTCATGATTCCTGGCCAACATCATTCTATCATGGGTTTCTATGAGTTAGATTAATGTCCTACTCCAAACTTTGTCCAGATTTTCAGAAAATCCATCTCATGCTTTTTTCAAAATTATTTGTCACGTCTAGTCAGAAGCTGATCACCAAGTTTACTTGGTTCCTCAGTAGTTCTTTATCACCTAGTAATGATTCCTAATCTCGGAGGTTATGCAGGATGTTTTCTAATTGCTTTAATAGTTGAGATAAGTATGAATTTAGGACTTTGAGCTTGTGATATGCTTTAGCCATAGCAAGAGGAGAGCAGAGTCCATTTCTTCTACCCTTTCTCCTTTATACTCCCCATAGTTCTTTGAATTTTATTGCAGAAGATCTTGAGCTGCTTTTGTATTGTAATACGGATTCAGGATTCACACGCTTGTTGATCAATTAATCGTGAAATAGAACTTCATTGAGCACTTCATTTATTCATCTATACTTCTTCAGTTAGTTGCAGGCTTCATCCAATTTCTTTTGGCAATATTAGCTTCATGAATAAGTAGTTTGGCATGAATTTGATTTATCTTGTACTTCTCCTTGGCAGGTACTCACTAACAAAAGCTGTCTGCATTGCTTTTGTATTGACATTCTTCAGTGCCTTTGACGTGCCTGTATTTTGGCCAATTTTATTATTCTATTGGTTGGTGCTGTTCATTTCAACAATGAAGAGGCAGATAATGCACATGGTCAAATATAAATATGTTCCCTTCACATTTGGCAAGCAGGTACATTTCCCAATTTCATATCTAATTATTTTGGTAGTCTTTTTACATGTTCCCTAAGTTGCCCGGACTCTTCATTTTCGGTGCCGCACCCCGTGTTGACACGGTATGGGTGTGGGTGCGGGATACGTACCGGATATGGTCAACCGATTTTGGGTATTTTGACCAAAATAGGTAGAGAAATTCGGGACAAATACAATGATTTCTTAAATCAAAACAAAAGATAGGGTGAAATTGAAGAAAATGGAATACCTTGTATATAGGAATTTCTCTATCAGACCTTTTCCTTTTTATCTCCTTCCTGTATTCTTGATCAATATTTTCTCCTTCTCGGAATACATTGTAAGTTTTCCACATAGTGTCTCATAATGTAGACCTAGTTTTATAACTCTATTTTTAGATATTTAAATTAATTTTAGCCGAATCCCCGTACTCGTATCTGTACCTGGATCCGTACCCTTGAATCTTAAAATTTAGATAGATCTGACATCTAGATCTGCACCCGTATCGGACACACGCACCCGAGTCCGAGCCATTTAACATGTTCCAGGCTGCATTGTCTCTATACTTTTCCTTCAATATGTTGAAAATGATTGGAAAATGTTTCCTTTCTACAGCGTTATGGGAAGAAGAAGCCATCAACTGATGAGGCCGGTGCTTCCAGACCTTGAGGTTCAAAGCAGATTGAACATTTCATGATGGGGAATCAATTTGTTGTAGGCTACAAATTTGCCGGGATGGCTTTATTTTTCATAGAATAGGTTTCTGAGGTTGGGTATGAGCAATTTATTATATGAATATAAATGAATTCTTAGATTCTAAACTTAGCTCCCCAAGAAGCTGCCATGTATCTTATTCTTTCATCGATAGGTAAGCTAGCCCCTGTATGTCATTATTCATTTTCTGAGCTCAGTCTACAACCACTCTTATTTAACTCTAGCTTAGTAGATGCCAAGAGGTTGCATATCCCTGTGGTGGAGTTCTTGTAATAATTGTTTGGTTAGAAAATATTCAAATCTTTCTATATCTGCATGTTCACTTTTTAAAAAAAAAATCAATTACTGCTGCATATTTATGTTTGCCAATAAATCGTCATGCACACGAGCAGTGAAGGCTTCTCTTTCGAAGGGTGGAATTAGCATCTACTGCCTTGCATATCCCATTTCTAGTTTTGATACACCATTTGTAGAGATATTTGCCTGATGACTATTAAGCTGCTGGTAACTGTACGATGGAGGTAATGCGAAGATTGTCACGCAGTGTACATCAATCTGATCATTGAGGTATCCTGCTGTTGTAACTTTCTGTGTCGGTGTAATGACAGTGAAATCTACCACTTCATGATGCAGCAAAATTATTGGATTTTACTGTAGAGATGAGAATGAATTTTATGTGCACGAATAGTGGCCATCATTTGAGTCTTCTATCCTGAAAGATAAGGGAAAACAGGGCAAGTATTATGGGAGGGATTTGGAGTCTCACAAATTCGTGTCTTTTTAGATGCTGAATAGTCCCTTTTGATATCCAATTTGTTGTTTTTCTAGTCTTTCGACCTGCCTTCCCTGTAATGCGCTGTTGTCACATTGGGGGCTCAGTTGTGTTGTTGCCCTACCATTTATATACTTGGGGGTTGTTGGATTAACTGCATCTGTATTATTGAACAGTTTGTGTTACACTTACCTTTACTCAAGTTCCTCAAACTCCCCCACACCAAATTGAGCAACTTAATTACAGATAAATATCTGATTGAAACTTGAGATAGTTTGGTTATGCAGGAGTTGCAAATCCGACCGGCTCATATTTGACTTTGATATGTATGATTGGAGTGTAAAATTGACTTATGCGTGTGGTAGTCTTGCCAGGCAGTACTTAACATTATTGCAAAAGGGTGTTTAAAGAAGTGTGGTGTCGCTGCAAATGGAGTGTAGAGAGCTTAGTGTGTACAAAGATGCATACAATAAATGGTTGCATTTAGAAGGGAAAAGAGGTCACTTTCAACCTAGATCATTATGGATGCAGTGCCACTCACTTCAAAGGATTGGTAGAGGACCACCATTTATTGGTCTCGTGCGATTGGCCAGACTCTATCCAAGTACAAATCTTGGGAATCTTTTGCCCCTCTCTTTGGGGATTACCATTTTGTCCAAAGGTTTTGCTGATTATTAATTAGTAAAGAGACTTCTTTTGTGATCATATGTTTACTCATTTGTCTCTGCAGTCTTCTGCAACTTAAACAGCACTGAACAAAAAATGTACTTGTTCTTTTGAATGGCAATATGTAGGGTTTGACTTAACTGCTTATGGGATTTAAATGTTAGGTCATAGAAGTAGAGACAAAGGTTTCAAGTCTATATGGGTAAGTGAGTATGTTTTGCTAAGTTGCTTTGGAGATCAACTTTACAGGATCACTACAACCACAGACAACCAAGTATCTTGATGTTATAAGTTATAACCCAGTGACTTTTAATTCTTTTTTTTTTTGGAGGTTAACTAAGTCCTTAAGGTCAAGTTATTTTAGGCTATGGCAACTTTAGGTAATTCTTGGTCATTTTCTATATTACTTGCTTATCTCTTGACTTGATTATATAAGCAAAGGAGAAAAAGTAATATAGCTATCACAAACTAGAAAAATGTGAATAAAGTGAACATAAAGTTGTGGTCTTTAAGGGAACATAAAGTTGGTTAAGGATTCATAAGTATGAGCTAACTGCTAAAAAGAGTTTAGTTCTACTTCAGAGTCCTCAGGGATAACACACGCATGCTATGCCCTACATGCTGGGCTAGGGCCACGCAAGTTCTGCATGCTAATACACAACTGGTTGCTTAATTATCCGAAAATCTAACTTTAACATCTTTCTTTGTACGTCTAGACCAACTCGCGTGCACCTCAAAAATAACTTTAACATCCTCATTTAACCTTCAATCAAAATGAAGGACGCCATTTTCAGCTGTTAGATCGATCACAAAAAATAACAGAATATCAGTCCTTGCATCCACGGGAGCCTATCTTATTCTCTGGTACCAAACTCGTTTACTTTTTACTGAAATCATTCATGTCAAAGTCTACTGATCTCAAAATCCATCCCCTTNAAAGGCAATAATGTTCATCTTTCTCTCTTTTCAGTTTTATTGTGATTTGAACTAACACTTGCAGCTTACGTTCTTTTCTTTCTCTGCCTTATTACCCTGCCATTATCTTGGAAAAATGGAAGGGGGACTTCCCATGCTAAACTGTCTGTTACAGCAAACACTAAGAAGTCTCTGTACTTGCTCTGACTCTTCTTCTAATGCTTCTAATAAGTGGGTCTATGCTGTCTTCTGGAAGATTCTCCCCAGAAATTATCCTCCACCAAAGTAAGCACAGTAATAATGAAAACCTGGAAATTAATTAATGAACATTGCTATTTATCTAGGAAGAATATATTATATTATTATTATTATTATTATTATTATTATTATTTTCTTTGTTGCAGATGGGATCATGGAGGAGGCTTGATTGATCGCGCTAAAGGAAACAAGAGAAACTGGTAATGATATAGTACTAGGAGTATTTGTTTTGTGGTTTTTGTGGACTATTTATTGGCATTTCATTTCAGGATTCTTGTTTGGGAAGATGGTTTCTGTGACTTTTATGAATGCGAACGATCCAAAAGGGAATTTGTAAGGATAAAATTTGGTGCTGACATTTTCTTCAAAATGGCTCATGAGGTTTATAATTTTGGTGAAGGGTGAGATATTGTTTTCCTCCTTTTCGCTTTATAACAAGAATAAAACGTCCTCTTAGCAAAGTATTAGACCTTTTTGTTTGTTTTGCAGAGTGGTGGGCAAAGTTGCAGCAGATAATAGTCATAAATGGGTGTTTAAAGATGCCCCAAACGAAAAAGATTCAAGCTTTATTTGCTCATGGAATCTATCCATTGAACCTGTAAGCACCACTAGACCTTAAACTTAAAAAAACTATGGATTCAAAGTATAATATTTGTTTCAACTTTAGTATTTTTCACATATATATCTATGTTCCGTATTAAAAATAGTGTTCAGTTGAACCCATTGTACAAAGGCTGCATCGGCCTATGTTTCATACCCCCTGCCTTTTCGATCTTTCTGATTTCTGTATTTGCCTTTTTTGGAAGCAACCAAGAGCCTGGGAAGTTCAGTTCAATTCAGGCATTCAGGTAATGAATCCAGTCAATGACAAAATATACTAACTGTTTCATCATTACAGTCATTTCAAATATCTTAATTTAGGAAGTTTTTGTTTTTTTGGCAGACTATCGCGATTATATCTGTTAGGGAAGGAATCATTCAGCTTGGCTCCTTTAATAAGGTTTATCTCTTTAGTATGTTGCTCGGACTTTTCGAAAATATCGCCGCGTGCGCGTCGGATCCTCCAAAGGTAGTGCAATTTCGGAGGATCAGACATGGGTGTGACACGATTTTAGAGAGTCCGTGCAACATAATCTCTTTATTTTTCCTTTTTGGAGGTATTCATATGTTTCATTCACAACTGATTCCACTTATATATACAGGTTGTTGAAGATCTTAATTTAGTAGTAAGCATTCAGAGGAAATTCAGCTACCTCCAAAGTATACCGGGCATTTATGCAATTCAAAGACCATATTTGCCAATTCAACATCCATACACTTACAAGCCAAAAGATACCACTTTAGTTAACGCGACGGATCATCAAATGGATGATAAAAACCAGTTAATTGGCCCGAAAAGACTTCAGGGTGAACGATTACAAGAGTTTCCAGTTAAGGCCATAAACATAGGTTATAATAGCCCACAAGGCATGGCTAGTCTACCTTTATGGTCAATTCCTTCTCTTTTGCCTTCAATGCCTAGTAACGTTGGCGCTTTTCTTTCTAAAGCGCCATCTAGTTATGCCAATGCAGTACATGACAGTATTTTTCATGACGGAGTTATGAGGATGACCGATACAAGCCAGAACATCAAGGTTGATGGATTGGATCATTTAAAGTTTGAGGCAGCCGAGGAAGATGACAAATTTTCCTTAGACCATACAATGAGTCAGTGATTAATGAGAATGAGAAGAAATTGCGGCTTCCTGTTATATCTGCAGTTAAGTTGGCTCCAGTTTGTTATATCTGCATAGTGTCTTAAGTACATAAGAGGCATTGTATTAAGTAATAGGGACCTGTTGCTGGTTGTTAGCTTAACTTGTTGGTGAAGTTCTGAATACTTGATTGTATGATAATGACATAGTAATCTTTAGCAATTTGTTCTCTTCATATTATTTATTGGATATACATTTTCTGAAAAACATGTACATAATGTTAGGATTTACTTGTATGTTGACCATAGATTTAGACTTGGATCTTAGTTGTTGTGGACTTGGTAGTTTGATCTACTTTGCCTGTAGCTAAAGGAGGTAGAATAGCAACACAACCGAAGATTGTAATATCAATTGAGCCAAACAACTAGAGTAAATGAATCGACCCAAACAAAATAACAACAAACCCAGTATAATCCCACCAGTGAGGTTTGAGGAGGGTAGTATGTACGCGGACCTTACCCCTACCTTAAAGGTAGAGAGGTTATTTCCGGTAGAATCCCATCTCAAGGAAAATCAACCCAAACATAAAATGCAAAAAATCTAGTAAACCACAAAGTAAAGTTTTTCTTACTCTTAACTAACCAAAATTATGCCAGAATTGGTGGAACTAACTAAATGTGACTGCAAGAGTTTAGCATAGAAGGAAAATGTCAATGCATTCTCACTGAATGTGATGATTTTAAGAAGAAAAAAAATGGATATGGTCCAGTAACTCTTTTTACGCAAGACTAAGAGTCATTCTGGACCAGTTTCTCAGGTTCTAAAGTAATGTAGGGGAGGAAATTATTGTCCTTTGACAGAGTTCCCTAATAAAGGAGTTGGCAACTAGTGTCCTATTCATGAATTTAGTACATATCACATCACTGGTTAGATCAGCTCGATGTTGATCTCTTGCCTACTTGTTTCCCACTTTTCTAATTGCAAACAAAGTTGTACCAATATTAAGAAAAATAGGAGCAGCATTGGACCAATGTATTCACTAATTCCTTAACACCACCTAACTTTTCTTTTTTGGATTTTAAACTTTATATACAATGACAGTGTAAAGAATTTTTACACTTTTGGTATAGTTTAACATGTGATAGCGCTACTTTTAGCAGGTTGCTATTTAATAAGTAATATTTATCGTTGATATTTGCCTGTAATTAAGCTACTAATGCTTTCATTAGGATAGATTGTTAACATTACACCTTTAGAGGTGCAACTCTTCCCCGGACCCTATATAAATGCGGCTTTTTTTATTTGTCTCCAACCTCTAACTAAAACAGCAAAAGGCAGAGCAGCACAATTAGTAAAGGCAAGGTTCAAGATTCTACATTTAGGAAGTAATTATGGACTATGAGTGCTAATATTGGAAAGCGAAAGAATGAAAAGTTGGCCGACAAAACAAAGAAAGTTTGAGGATCCAAGCTGTAACACAAAGACAGTGGATATCTCATCCGACAGAATGGATGGTTCCTAATCTTGAAACTCTGATATTTTTTCTTTTCGATATTTGGGGACAAGATGCTCTAAGTTTTCCAAGAAAATGTGAGTAGTGACTTAGTGATACCTGTTATACTACATCAAATGGTCCCTATATTACGGAAACGTTACTCAACTTTGGTAATTTCGGTTCAAAATGAATATAAGTATTTTCAAATAAGAAATAATCCGATCTTATGACTATAATATAAAGATTCAATTAAGTATATTATTTTTCAAGAAGCAATCGTCATCACCGGTGAAAGTTGAATGGTGCGATCTGATATGAAAGTGATGGAAAAAAATAAAATACAATATATCTAATTTTGTGAATTTATAATGATTGTTGTGTTCTGCATACTAGATTTTCTATGTTCGTATGTAACTTTTCAACTGCGAATAAATACAAGTAGCGAAAAGCAAGATGATTTATGTAGTACCAAAATGAACAATTTAATCATCGGACTAGTTTAAAAAGAATTTCTTTTGAATAACAAAAACCAACTTAAGGGTTGAAGGAAGAAGTAAGTCGATAGACTAGTACATCATATGATAAATCTTTGTTAGAATTATTTTTAGCAGATGCAAATTTGGCTCTGAGAAATGCCTCAGCCATCATATTACCAAGTTTGACTTGGCCTTGGGTTGTGATATGAATGCCATCCGAATTCAGTGGTAGACCCTTAGCGTCAACCTTTATTACATTTGGGAGATCAATATCAAATTGTGCTTCTCTCACTACATCTACAAATTCTCCTACAAACGGTTGTTTAGGATGGTGTAGAACAACCTGCAAAAAAATAAAATAGAAAAAGAGAGACTTTAACTTCTGTATGTTGATAATGTATAACTAGAAATTGTATACTAATCATAATTTGTATTAAAGAAATGTTGTAAACAACCTAATATAACCGGTCGAAATACAATGATAGTGTAAAAATTATTCACCTTGTTATTGTATATAAAATTTAAATAAAAAAAGAAATTGCAGTTGTTTTACAACAATATAATCTCAGAAGTGGGGTCTGGGGAGGGTAGAGTATACTTAGACCTTACCCCTATCTTTGTGAGGGTAGAAAGGTTATTGCCGATAGACCCTCGGTACAAAAAAAATGAGAAAGAAGCAATAACAGCAAGCAGTACCTACAACACAACACTAGATAAACCGAAGCGAAAGAGACAAATTGGAATTGTTTTGATTGAGTTAAAGTTCCTCACATTGACAATGTATATGTTTTTAACAGCATCAGGTGAAATTGACTAACAACAATAGGTAACTCTTCATATATGTGGTAGTTGGAAAAATAGAGTAAGAACATGTTATATCCAACTAAATTATATTAGTAACGTAATCAATTTTACACTACTAATATATATAACTTAAATCCATTTTGATTAAGGTTTATTATCTTATGCAAAAATCACTTGAAAGAGAACACAACAAAAACATGAAACTGTAAATCAAACAATAAAAGAGTGAAAGCAATTAAGGATTTTATATATAGTTAATTACCACCACCCCAACAACAACAACAACAACAACCCAGTGAAATCTCACTAGTGGAGTTTGAGAAGGGTAGTGTGTACGCCAGCCTTACCCCTACCCCGAGGGGGTAGGGAGACTGTTTCCGATAGACCCTCGGCTCAAGAAGACGAAAAAGTATATAGTTGATTACCACAACAACAGGAAGTAGAGGAGAATTCAATTCAGTACGTAGGTCTTGAACAAACTTCTCAAATTTGGATTTGTAATATTTAGCAGTGTATTTGTCCTTTGAATCACTCTCACCATGATACCACAGAAGTGCTCTAAGTGTTCCTCCATCTCTAAGAGAAATCTTAACCCTGTTATCAATTGTTCATAGGGCAAATTTCCAGGAACCCAAGCATGAATTCCAGTCCCAGACCTAGAACATGGCACTAAACCAATAGCTCCAAAATTTGGAACTTTTTTTAGAATTGCATTAGCAAAAGCCATACCAGGACCAACTCCACAATTAGAAAGACAATCAACTCCATAATTAAGGGGTTCATGTGCTATTTCCCACTTTGTATTCACTCTAAATCGAAGAATATTATCTGGATTTGGTTGGGATTCAATAGGTACAATACCATCCCAATAACCGTAGCTTACTCCACCTTGACCTGCCATATTGCTTTGACCTGCTAATATAAATATTTGTTTGTTTAATCTGTCAGTGTTCCTACTCGTAATTAGACGATGATCCTTGTCTTTACTACTCATCCAACGTAAGTAAATCAGAACCAAAATAAACATCAAGATTAACAACATTTCTTCGGTTGCATTTTGTAACTTGTTGCACTTGAACAGCATCTTAATTAATTCCCCCACTTAGTTTCTCCTGTTGTCCCAGAGCTGTTACTTCTTCACTTCTTGTGGTACAAAAATCAAGAATCTTTAGATATTCCAAATATCCATAATCAAAGAAAAAGTAAGTACTAGCAAAATACTAAATAGAAATGATTATGTTGGGCTCGTATGTCATTGGTTACAATGAATAAACAATGACTCTTTTCTTTCTCTAGAATTACTTTCCATATTTCTGTCAATTTCCATTCTTTCTCTGTTTACATGAATTGGAACAACCTGATGTATTAACATGAATTTCATGCTAAGTAACAATATCAATGACATTTAAGAAGAGGGATATTTTTCTAGCCCTCTTTTTCTTTTCCAGTGTGCGCGCATTATTGCGGGAAATTTTTTTTATCACCTGAAATTAAATGCATTTATTTTTGTTTCTATACTGAGCTTGAGTACATGAACCATGAAATTTTAAGAAAATGCGCGATTCTTCCTATTTTAGACCTAGTACGTTGAATGTAAATTGTTTATGAGGCTGTGGAACTGAAATTTATAGTATTGTATTAGATTTTAGAAAGAAATAGGCTTTGCTCGTTCATACTTCACACGATAATTACCAAAAATGAATAAACTTTAATTTCCTTAGCTCAAATGAATAACTTCTCGGTCCATCTGTACATGTTTATTGAAGATTGCGTTGTAGTTGAATTTCGGTGAAAAGTTTTTGCATCGACGAATTTTAGTCAAAATTTTGAGAAAAACAGCTACAAGATAGAATCTGTATAGTGCTGATCAACGCTGAGAGAATGTAACGAATTTTCTGTACTATATCAATAGCCGAAAAACATGTTTAATTCTCAAATATGTTACTTTTTACAGCAGTTAAGAGTTGAAAAATTAAAGGTTGAATGTACTGATCACTTTTGCTTGCATTAGTTCATTAGTTTATGTTGATTAAACTGTCTTGGCAAAGGTGAATTCTAAATTAATATAAGGTGCACATTTAACTGTTGGAAATCAGATCGATATGTCCATGCACACATAGCAATCCATTTTTCAGAAGAAGCGGATGTTACGTTGAGGAAATGGCAAATCCGAAAATAAAAAAGATATATAAAGAATACCAATTTTAACGTAGAAAACCCTTCAAATCGTAGGTAAAAATTACGGGATCACCAAGATCCAAAAAGTTTTACCATAACAATAAGAGAGTTACAAAAGTTCTCCAAATTGGCTACACAACAAGGGCCAAATACGGAGCAACAATAGCAACAATAAATCAATTGAAGAAAGATAAGAAGTCACAAAAACGGAGCTGCTGTTAGAGGCTCAAAATCGGATGCTACAGGCCACCACATACGATCTTCGCCGTTTAAATCAAAGACCAAGATGTTAGGAACACTCAGTAAATATTTCAGCCAGATCAACGGTTAACAAATCGAAAAACATAATTTGAGGTTGGATGGTCGGAACAAAATCTGCAGCAAAACAAACACTTTTTTCACTTATAACTTTAAGATCATAAAGAGACCAATTAGTCACCCTTAACCCATCGATGGCGGGAAGTCAACGACTACTTAGATATGTAAATGATATTAGCAGGGCCTTGCTTGTTTTCGTCCCCGCAACTTCATTTTGCCGTGGAGGCTATGATGGATTATTCCTATCTTCATAAAAGAAGGTAATAACTTATCTTTTGAAGCATTAACATATTTTTTCAGTCACGTAAGCCTTTAGTTCCACAGTGTCTCAATAGAATCTCTACCATCCGCACAATCACGATTTCTGAACCTTTTACGGTCTTCTACTGTGTTACCCAAATAATATCCGAAAATAGTAATTTAATGTGGGCGAAATTTCTAGGAAAAAAAGGGGATGAAATTCGGCCACCATCTTCTCTCCTTTTTTTGTCCAAACGTATTTTGACCATAACCGATAAAGATGCACTGTTAAGTTTCGACATCCAGTTTCAATCTCAGGTGATCATAAGAAACATCTTTGGCAAACCAAACTCTGTCTGGGATATCACCATCCAAAGCAACAGTAGCAGACAAATTGATAACATAAGCAACAGTGTTAAGTGTTTCCGCCCAAAATGTATTTGGAAGTTTTGCCTCTGAAAGCAAGCATCCAACTCTCTCAACTAGAGTTCTATTCATCCTATCTGCCAAACCATTCAATTGAGATGTCTTGGGAGGAGTTTTCTGATGAAGAATTCCTTGTTCTTTGCAATAGTTAGCAAATGTACCACAATATTCACCACCATTATCAGTGCACATGCATTTTAATTTCTTCCATGCCTGTCTCTCAGCTAAGGCCTGAAATTCCTCAAACATGCAAGTGCTTGATCTTTGGATTTCAAAGGATACACCCAGCCACCTTTTGACTTTACTTTAAAAGGACCACACAAATGAGAGTGTACTAGCTCCAATAATTCGGGCTTTCTTAAAAGAGGATGACTATAAAAGGAAACCCTTTTCTATTTGCCAGCTAAACAATGGATACACCTTTTCAGCTTTGCTTGTTTTACTCCAGAAAGCAAACTTTTCTTAGCCAAACACGTAATCTCCCTCTCGCTCATATGACTCAATATCCTGTGCCATAATTCTGATAAAGTGTCACTTTCCACGAGATTTATGGAGTAATTAAGAATAGAACTTTATGTCACATATAATTGAGAAGACTTGACTCCTCGAGCCACTACTAATGAGCCTTTGGTGAGCTTTCATTGGCCATTAAAGTCTAAAGAGGCGTTATGGTAACCTTCATCGTTTAATCTTCCTACGGTGATCAAATTGAAAGGAAATTCTGGAGCATGCTTGACATTTTGAAGAACTAACGCTGAACAATTATTAGTTTTCAAACAAACTGTACCAACACCAAACACCTTAACTTCACTGGCATTGCCTATCTTCAACACTCCGAATCAAAATGAGTATAAGATGAGAAAAAGTCTTTTCTTAGTGTGACATGTGAGATAGCTCCAGAATTTACTATCCAGCTCATCTCATGGGATACCAAATTGATGATGTTTTTATCATAAGCAAAAAGAAGGTCATCTCGAACAATAGCAATAACATTGTTCTAATTATTTTCAACTTTCTTTCCTTCTCTAATGTCATGCTTCAACTTGTGGAATAACCTTTTGATATGCCCTTTCTTGCCACAGTGGTTGCACGTAATATTATGGTATTTAGACCTTGACTTACTTCTGCTTTTACCACTATTCCTCGAACCTCTTGTTTTATATCTCCCCCGGTCTTCTGTAACCAAGATATCTGCTTGTAAGGATGAACCCTGAGATTTTCTCCTTACTTTCTCATTCAATACACCACTTTTGACCTATTTCATCACCACCTTACCACCAGGAGCTGAATTTGTCAAAGAAACATGAAGAGTTTCCCAAGAATCTGGCAGAGTATTAAGGAGCCAAAGTGTATCTCATCATTAAAATTAACTCCCATTCTAGACAGCTGATCAAGGACACCCTGAAAATTATTTATATGATCAAGGATATGACCGCCTTCCTTGTATTTAAAGGTCATCAATTGCTTTAGTAGGAACAACTTGTTGTTCTTAGTTTTTGAAGCCTAAAGAGTTTCTAGATTTTCCCACAACGATCTCGCATGTGTCTCATTCACAATATGGTTGTGAACATTGTCTTTAACACATTGTCGTATATATCCACATACTTGCTGGTGTTTGAAATCCTAATCTTCATTAGATATATTTTCGGGTTAATGAGCTGCAAAAATGGGTAGATGTGTCTTCTTCAAGAACAATAAATCTTTCATCTTGCTTCTCCAAATATTATAATTGATTATATTTAAACATATCATCTTTCTCATATTCGCCTCCATTCCGTGAAAACCCGGATAAATAACTAAGGTTCTGATACCACTTGTTAGGAACGCAAAAAACTAGCAGAGCACTAAATACAGAATAATACACTATCTTGAATTCAAAGAAGAAAAATAACGAGGAGTGCTTGTGTTAAGTCTCAAAGCCAAGTAATCTTATAAGGGGGGAAGTAAATGCAGCATGCTAAACTAGCAGAGCAGTCCAATTTTTATGTTTTAGGGGGTACATCAAAATTATTTAAGAGGTCCTTGATATATATACAAATATACATACACGATTTTTGCCAAAGCAAACGGGTTCCGGTGACCCCTCTACTCCCCATGTAGGCCCGCCTCTGGTTATAAGTTATATCTACCAATTTGATAGTTCTTGTAATCTATTTTTCCTTAACATTATCATCACCGATTGTATAAAGAAATTTTAAAAGGAAGAGAAAAAATTTGAGTTTAATCACTCAGCTCTTGAAAAGTCCTTAAAAATCTATCCCAATTTTATGCTCATGTAAAAGCAACTATTCGAAATCATCAAGAAGCCATTATAAGAATAAACTCAAGGTAAAAAACAGACTCAAAAATAAAATCTTCATAATAAAGAATTGGAAGAGAGAGAGAATTTTATAATTTGTCTCTCTACACATTTATAAAGAGTGAATTAAGTAGTAGCCTATGGTAGAAAGACAAGAAAATCCAGATGTTTAACCACAAAATAAAATTCTCGGTCAAGAAATTCCGTACTTTCTTAATTATATGAAAGGAAATAAACGTGACAAGAAATATAGAAATAATTGATTGAAAACAAAAGAAAGTAATTATATTCCAGTAAGAATCAAAACGTGCCTTTACAAGTAAAATTCTCTTCCCTTATATAGGGGTTTACAAATATAATGTTTCATTCCTTTTATGTCTAAGTCATTATGAGCATTAATGGCATTAAATAAACCGTTATAATTGGCGATCGTAATTGTC